AAAATGTGAAGTCATTATTCCCCTTTTTCATGGAAACTGCCTCTGTTTCCTTATAAAATGAATTGGAAATTTTTCAGACTGAAACACCTTAGCTATATTTTTCTTCATTTTATAATGAAAGTTTTTTTTTTTTCCCCTTGTCATTTGCATCAGATGAAATTAAGATGGGTGAAAACCAGAGTTTTTACTGTAAAAGTGGAAAAAAAAGAGAGAATGACTGTTCAGCCCAGGGTCAGAATTTTTAGGCTCAAACTATAGTTGGGGTAGGTGCCAGCTCAGAATTGATGCCAATTTACGGGCGAACATAGGCGTATAGAGTGGGGATATTTGACATTTTGAATTGTTATAGGGTTGCAATGGAATTCAGAAATCTACAATGAACCTGTCCGTACTTTTCCAAAAAAATTACACCTCTTTTTCAAAGAAAAGAATGTCACTGATGAAGAACTGTGGATGAGTACCGATTTTAAGTCATGGAAACCATGGAATGGCATACCCATATATTGGAATTGACCTATTTGAATTCATGAAGAAAAAAGGCTCAAGGTGTGGAATTTGTAAGTTTATTAGTGTTCAAATCAGCCCCCACAAGATTATCCCCACAACGTCCCACAGCACATCTCTGCCATGTATTGAGAACATCTCTCAATAATAATACTAGAAATGATGATGTCATCATCGGGAGATGTTCCCAATACATGGCGGGGATGTGATGTGGGACGTTGTGGTGGGGCAATCTTGTGGGGGGCTGATTTGAACTCAGTTTATTGCCGCTTAGATGCATTAATTAATTACGATTTCATTTTAAATGGGAACTTGAAATTTCTCATCCTTCACCATCACCTTCCTCATGCCATTTCCTTCTTTTTTTTTCCCTGTCTCCAATCCATAATAAATGGGCCAGCCTGGATTCCACGTACAAAATGAAATAAGTTTTGGTGTGTTGTTTTTTTGGGTATATTGCTGAGACCTCTTTTGAAGTTTCTGTCTGCTCGTTGCTGAAACTTTTCCTGAACTTTATGACACAAATGCAAGTAGATCCCTTTGTTATAATTTGCATGCTTTTTTTTAGAGGAATTCTAACAAAAGGGGTCTAATTGCAACTGTGTTAGGAAGTTCAACGGAGGTGATTGCAATTATCAAGCTTCTGGGGAGGTTTCAACTATTTACCTTTTTTGGGTAAACAAAGGAACTATATTAAAGCTAACAAAAAGAGACAACATGAGAAATAACAACTAGTTTTGGTGTGGCTTTGATTTGGGAGTGCTTAAAAATAAGTGCTTATTGGAATAAGCACTCATTTTTGGCTGGGACCACACCCAAATAAGTGCTTATTCATGAGAATAATCATTTATTTGAAAAGTCTAAAGCTATGTTTGGGAGTGCTTAAAAATAAGTATTTATTTGGGTTGGGACGACACCATCAAGTACTTATTGGTGTTTGGGAAATAAGCCCAAAACAATTGTTTATTTTTTAAGCCCAAATTTCCAACTTTTTTAAGTGCTTATACAATAAAAACTTATTCATTTTTTTCCAAAATTATTTCTAGTTGAATTTTAAAATATCACTTATAAAATTATCCCTAGTTGAATTTTATAAAAGTACTTTCTCAAAAATGGTTTTGTAAAAGTACATTTATAACAATACTTTCATAAAAGTGCTTTTATTAATGTGATTTAATAGAAGTACTTTTGTAGAAGTGCTTTCGTAAAAGTATGTTTTATAAAAGTGGTTTTATTAAAATGCTTTTCGTAAAAATGCTTTCGTATAAAAGTACTTTTCATGAAAGTGCTTTCGTAAAAGTGTTTTTTGTAAAGCACCTTAATAAAAGTGTTTTTATAAAAGTAACTTAATAAAGGGATAATTCCATTTTAGTACCCTGAACTTTGGGGGTAATGTCAAGTTAGGTCCCGAACTTTCAAATGTCACTACAGTACCTAAACTTTCAAAAAGTGTCGAGTTGGTCCCTGTGGTCAACCGACCGTCAGTTATCTGATCTTGTGATGGCATGTGCAACTTAAAAATTCTGAAAATGTCAAAAATACCCTTCAAAAGAAGACATTGTTTATTGTCTTCTACTTTGAGACTAAACCGGTTGAGGTGTTTGAGAACCAGGCCAAGCCAAATGACACTCTCCTCCTTCCCCACCTCACTCATGTTTCCTGTTACAGAGATACAGTTTTAGAAGCTCGCTAACCGGCTTGATATCAGAGGTGGTTACTGGTTAGAGATTGGATTCCAATCATAAGAAAATTAGATGACAGGTGAAGGGCATTTTTGTCCTTTTATACAACTTGACACTTTTTGAATGTTTGGGTACTGCAGTAACACATTTGAAAGTTCAGATACTAACTTAACATTACCCCAAAGTTCAGGGTACTAAATTGGAAATTTCCCTTTAATAAACATACTTTCATAAGGGTATATTTTGAAATTTTAAAAGAAAATGAATGACAAAATAGTCACAAATGCTTATTTAAGTGCTTATTGGAGAAAAAAGACTACCAAACGCCTAATATGAAATAAGTGTTTTTTTTTTTTTAAATAAGCACTTGAAAAAATTAAGTGCCAAATGCAAATAAATGCTTATTAAAATAAGCACTTGTTTTTAAATAATAATTCAATAATCACTTGTTTTTAACATCAATACTCTCAAACATGACCTAAATTTTAGACTCAATAAGTATTTATTTCCCTTATAGCCTGTCTTGGCCCCACGGCATAATTTTGAAAATACCTATACCACTCCTGTTTGAAATTGGAGTGCAAATGAGAAAAATGTAAAATTTGAAAATACTTATGCACCAGTGCTAATGAAATTGCACTGCTAACAAACAAGATCCATTCAGTTTGAAATTGCCCTGTGTCGAACCCGTTAAAAAGAGGGCTCAAAGTGTGAAATCTGTATGTTTTATGTCATTTGGATGTAATAATTACGATTTCTTTTTACAATTAAGAAGTGGGAACGTGAAATCATTCTTCACTATCATCGTGCCATATCCCTCTACTCACGATACACAGAGTTTTCCAACAATGGATGTTCTTTTTTCTTTCATTTTTTTAATCTTTTCTTTATTCTACATATAATTATGTGAGGATGACTACTACTATCAGTTCCACTGATTTGATATAATACCACATCTGTTGGTGTTTAATTTAATACACTTATGTGTTTACATTAATCTTGTTGATGGATCGGGTTTGGGTTTGATTTTTGTCAAAATTTAATTGGGTCCGTCTCAATATCCAAATCTCACATAGTCAGACCAGGCCCTACCTATAAATAAGTCTGTTCACAATTCTGCATTTCATTAGGGCACAAAATATAAGGTTTTGCAGTCTACTAATTTATATTTGCACCAATGAAGAAGGGCTGGTTCGTTGATGTATTTAGCTGGTTTGTTTCGGTGTTGACATAAAATGAAATCTCATTACTTTGGGAATCCCAAAGGAGTCAGGAAAGTTAAAATAAAAGGGGTCAGGAAAGTTAAAATACTAAAATATATATTTGCACCAAGGTTTTAAATATCAATATAGGCCGATTTAAGTTCCAATTAACGTTGGAATCATGGCCTGACCGATGCACCCCCTGTAGGGATATATCCGAAAGGCCCCGATATAATACGACCGATACGTAACTATATTGCATTTACTCCTGAGGTGAGGTTAACGGGTTGCATAATGAAGAGGGAAAATGATACTGTCCCTCTTGCACGTGTCGCATTTACTATTGACGTGTGTGGTTTATAATGCTTGGAACAGCACCTCCACTTGTCCTCAAACGTATCCCTAATTGATTCCATCACGATACCTATGTCACCCTCCTTTTTTGTTTCTCATCTGATTGGAATCTAGAAGAAATCACCAATTCTTTCATCACCCAATTAGAATCTAATTCTCACAGAGCGTTAGCGTATCTTATACTGACCACACAAACACATCCGATTACATTAGAAACATCTCTCGTAAATAATAATACAAAAGTACAGAAAATGTTCCCGATGCATGTCGGATGTATCCGGGAGGTTGGTGTGAGGAGCAGAACCGAAATGTTCACACCCACCAAAGTGCGGGATTAAACTTTAATACAATACGAGGCGACATACGGAAGTGAAATATCTGCTACGCCGGTTAGCGAAACCTTGGGCTAAAACCGTGAATCACATCCATCTATGTATTGATGCGCCCCACCTAGAATGGATAAAGTGACGCTAAAGTGGGGGCAAAAATTACATCCAAGTCCGTAATTTCATGGTTGAGGGGCTACGGCTAGACCCTGTGCTAACGATCAAATGGGCGGTCTCGATTTGTTTCCAGAACATGATCTAAATGTAACAATACAACAATAATACTCACGAGAAACTCCCAAGTTGCAGACTTGCAGGTCATCGATTTGAGTGGTAATAATTTTGGTCATGCTCCGCACCCAAATCTCGCACGGCACAGATAAATGTGCGTTGCGCACCGGCAGCGAATAGGAGAGTACGCTATGGCCCACATTGCTGACGTGGATCGGTACCGCATCTGGTCAGTCTCGTTCAAACCAATTGTCCTTTTTTCTTTCCACGTGGAGATATCCAGTTGGTCTTTATAGCCAAGGATTGAGGGAATCATTCTCCTTGTGGACGCGTTCACACTTGAAGTTCGAGATGTTTGAACCGAAGAAAAGTCGCCCATTATTTTTGGTCGCGAAAAGACTCAAATGGCCTGCAGAGTACCGTTTTCTCTGCGTTTTCTATGAAAGGCCAATTTCGTCCATTGGAAAACAACTTCGCCTTTTTCGGGTTTTGGAATCGCAAACGTCGAAGCCGTTCCCACCATTGGATTATTTGGAGTATGCCACCTACCATCTGTGACATAACAATCCCATATCTCACGGTCAAGTCAAGATCTGGGCCGTCTGCAAAGATAGTAAATCTGATCATATCCGACGGCTAAGAATATGTTACTAGAAACTTCTCTCTCCCTTCTAAAACCCCTTTATAATTCTGCGCTGGGATTGCCTTCGAAGAAGGGAGCTTGTGGTCTGCTCGTGCCGTTCTCAATCCGTTGTTAGGGTTTTGGTCTTCCATTTCTGTTGCCTGAGAAGGTTGGAAACTGTAGATTTTCTCCGCTTATTACACTGAACTGAGTTTTGATTTTCACTGTCCATTTCTGTTTAGGATCTTTGTCTCAATTTGGTTCCCATTAAATCGTTCAATAGCGATAGAGTTTGTTGATCTTTTGAATCGATTTTCCTTCTTTTGTCTCTTTCTTTTATTTTATTTTATTTTTTTTCTTTTTGTATAAAGTTTATCTTTTCATGTACTCAACCTAATCTCAGCGGAGTTTTGATTTTCACTGTCCATTTCTGTTAGGATCTGTGTATCTATTTGGTTCCCATTAAATTGTTAATGGCGATAGAATTTGTTGATCTTCTGAATCGATTTTCCTTCTTTTTTCTTTTTAATTTTTGTATAAAGATATATCTTTTCATGGACTCAGCCTAATCTCAACGGACGCTGATTCTTTTAAACATCAGGAATTGTAGCCATGGGAAAGTGCTACCCAACCGTGAGTGAGGAATACCAGAAGGCAGTCGAGAAATGCAAGAAGAAACTCAGGGGATTAATCGCTGAGAAGAACTGCGCCCCTTTGATGCTCCGATTGGCGTAAGCCATTCTCATTTTTTATTTATATTTTTTACGCCTTTTCGTCTTCCATTATCTGATCATGGACTGATTGTGTTGCTATTCTGTTACAGATGGCACTCAGCCGGAACCTTCGATGTCAAATCTAAGACAGGAGGTCCATTCGGAACCATGAAGCAACCAGCGGAGCTTGGTCACGCGGCCAACAACGGCCTTGATATCGCCGTTAGGCTCTTGGAGCCCATCAAGGAACAGTTCCCAACCTTGTCGTATGCTGACTTCTATCAGGTGTGTTCTTTTATTCTTTCATTTCTTTATGCGTTATTCAAAACGTAGGTTCTATTTTTTTTCGTTTTATACTTTATTTATGTATTTTTGAATCAGTTGATATTTCGTGTTTTTTAATTGCAGTTGGCCGGTGTTGTTGCTGTTGAAATTACCGGAGGACCTGAAATTCCGTTCCACCCTGGAAGAGAGGTGAGTGAAGCTCCGTCTCGCGCTCTCAAGTCACTGGCATTTTTGTGTTGCAGTGGCTTATGGCTGATTTCTGTCTGCTAAATATTTCATGGTTATTTATTGTGTACTTTTGGGGACAAGTTCAGCCCAGCCTGCCTTGAGTTGAAATATGCGTGTTTCAGAAATCATCAGTGTAGGAAATAGCAACACCATTTTTTTAATTTTGTCTCTATCCAAAAAAATAGAGTGAATAAATTTGCACCTACTCCTCAAAATGGGGACCACATCAATTTGCTCTCTCCCCAAACAAATAACCCTCTCCCTGCGGCATTTTTTATTCATATTAATTGGGAACTACATCATTTACTCCTTAGTGGGTGTTCTTTTTTTGGATTTTGAGAGATTTGTGGGGGGGTTGGTCAATGTGATTTTGGTTCCCATCAAAACCTATGTTCTTTTTTGAGATTTTTGTGAGGATCAGGGAAAGTTTATTTTCTTGGCTGTCGCTTGGGTAGGTGATACCCATCTCCCCACATAGGAAAAGTCACATGGGACAAAAGTGCCCCTTTTAATAATGGATTTTTATGGCTAAAAAGGTCATTGCCTTTAAAAGAATTACCCAGTTATATACCCATCTCCTAGTGGGTAAATAACTTTCCTACATGGGAAAAGTCACATGGGACAATAGTGCCCCTTTTAATAATGGATTTATATGGCTAAAAAGGTCATTGCCTTTAAAAGAATTACCCAGTTAATGCATTTTTTATATGTATTTTCATTATACATATTTGTATTTTAGGCTCAGTTTGAAAAGAGTAGAAATACAAAAATGTACAATGCAAATACATACAAAAATAATATAAAATACAAGGTTTTGTACTCCTTCCAAACTAAGCCTTAATTCCTTCCAAGGCTCTGATTGAGGAGTGTGCAAATACAAATATTCACGGTTTATCAATTTTTTACCAACACAAAATCCAAGACTGGAATTTCAATGTAATCTCAACTCTCAATTTTAAAACGAATAAATCACTATGCTGGTATTGTTACTGTATCCACTATCTACGATTGATTTTTTTTTCCATGGGTACTATGTAGTATAGCCTTAAAATTTTGGTTTGATTATGATGAAAAATATTTTGTTTATCACAGGACAAACCTGAGCCACCACCAGAAGGACGTCTGCCTGATGCTACTAAGGGTTAGTTTGTTTTACTACTTGCATTTAGAGGGTGCAGTTAAAAGGGTGGGGTGGGTATGGGGTTTAAAGGTGGGCTCTCGGATGGAATTTAAGGTATTTTGTGTTTTACCTTCAGGTTCGGACCATCTGAGGCAAGTTTTTAGTGTACAAATGGGACTCAGTGACAAGGATATTGTTGCTCTCTCTGGCGGCCACACCCTGGTTTGTTTACAAATCTGACATTTTCTTCCATTTGTATTAGTCTATTTAGCACAGCTTTAACGCTGAGAGTTGATGTTTATAATTATACGTCTTGGATGGACAATTGTTCAACAGGGAAGGTGCCACAAGGAGCGTTCTGGGTTTGAAGGAGCTTGGACTTTTAACCCTCTTATCTTTGATAACACCTACTTCAAGTAAGCTGCTACTAGCTAAATGAGAGAGAGAGAGAGAGAGTGAGAGAGAGGTATGTGATTTAGCATCGAACGGGTTGTCGGTATTCTTAGTGTGTAAGCATTTTATTAACAGGGAGCTCCTCAGTGGTGAGAAGGAAGGACTTCTCCAGCTGCCATCCGACAAGGCCCTTCTGAGTGATCCTGCCTTCCGTCCTTTAGTAGAGAAATATGCTGCGGTTTGTATTCAATCACCATTTGTATTTTATCCCTTGATGTCAATTATGATGATCTTCTGTTCCTAATGGGGTTGGTTGACTCTGTTTCAGGATGAGGATGCTTTCTTCGCTGATTATACAGATGCTCATCTGAAACTCTCTGAGCTTGGGTGAGTGGTGGATATGTGGATTTTGTTTCGTTTTTTTTTCTCTATCTTTTATTTAAAAGGAATTTGGTTCGTATTTTCTATTTTTTTTTTTTTAACTTAATATCTCACCATTTGAGTTGATGTTGCTTGTCTATATTATTGGTGACATAACCTTGCTTTTGTTTTCAGGTTTGCTGATGCGTAAGAGTGACGAGCTGTTGGCGGCAAGACATATTGTCATCTGCTTTTTATCATGTTTATTAGAACTAGTTAAGGCAATTACTTGCAATGAAGTTGGCTGGCTTTTGACTTCAATTTCCCTAGTTTTGTTTTCAGAAATTTCTGTGTAGCTCATCATCCACATCCTTTGCACTTAATTTCCTCTTATTTTGGTGGTTGTTCCAGAGAAACGAAACATCGAGTAGTATCTACTTCATGGTTTTCTTTAATATTTTGAATTACTAGTTGACCCTCTAAATGAATGGATTTGTTACGAAAATGTTGGGTACGCATTACACATATAGTCACGCGAAGGGGTTGATCATGGTATGGTTTGGTTAAGTTTAGGGAATATCTCAGTTTAATGGATGATGCTAATGAATAGTTTGTTCATTAGCTTTGTGCTAACGAATAGTGTGTTCCGTTCCTCGACGAATAAGGGCCTATGTGGTGTTGATGCTTTTTTACTTAGATGTCTTGTCTCGCACTTGAGCGACTCCCAAGTTCCAACAATGTTTGCAAAGAATATTGGAGTTTTCTGGCATCATAGATTTTTCGTGGCGATCTTGTTTGGGACTTGTATGAATACCACAGATGCATGGTTCAAACTCATCCTCCTTTTTTTACAGCTCAAGTGGGTGATTCATCGTGTGGTAATTGAAGTAGATATGCTTGAGATTGGTTTCGGTATCGGCCCTTGAATGTTTTGTCATTTTAGTACGTGACCGTAGAGAAATGTTTGCTGAAAATATGGAAAAGAGATCGAAACTCGAAAGCCAAAATCTGCCCTTTAGCTGAAAAGGTGTTTTCCTTTTTTTCTAATTGCTCTCTAAAGCCAGATGAAATCAAAAGCTACAGTCCTCCCAAATTTTGCACATCATAGCATTCATGTGCAGATGTTTCCAAATACACTGAAGCAAGGTTCAAAATATCTATATGTGGCATTTCGGGCGAATTAATACTCCTTTTGGTGGTTTTTATTTTTATTTTTATTTTTTGTCAACTGGTTCAGAGGAGCCGGTTTAGGTATTCGTCACACCCTGAACCAGTCAGGTGGGGTGTCGGAACAATATGTATCGGCCGTATGTGTGGATAATTTGAACCTGCTGCTCATGTGCACATTACAGCATGCATTGGCATTTAGCAATATTTTTCGCATTTGTAATTGGGAGATGTTTACAATAATACACCCAAGTGAATTCCCAAATGGCACTTAGGCTGTGTTTGGTTGCAGTATAAATTTATTTGCATTGATGCAAAACTAAGACCTAAGGCAGAATAAAATCATATGTAACCAACCAATCATGACTGGGGACTGGCGTGTTCAGTATACATGGAATCCATGCTTTGTATACAAAACACTTATTTATTCACTTGTAATTGCTTATATAGTTTTTGTATACAAAACACTTATTTATTCACTTGTAATTGCTTATATAGCCTTTTATATAGCAGCAGATATGGGTTCCCAAAACCAATCCATGGTTTAAAGGCTAAGGCTGTGTTTGATTGCAATGCAAATAAATTTGCATTGATGCAAAATTATGACATCACACCCAATGGCACAGTTGCCATTAGTCGAACAGAAAGCATCAAAGTTGATTTTGATGCAATCAGTTTTGGGCTTAAACCACTTAACAAGATTTAGACTTTAACTGTTAGTGTTACCCACGCAAAAAGAAACTTCTTTAATTTCATTCCAGTAAGCAAAAGCTCTACTAATGATATTCTCTGCATTACTGAAACCTTCATTAAAACATTTATTTTTCTATTCCTCCAAATGAACCAAGAAACACAAGCAAATTTTTCTCTCAAGAAATTATCCCTGGAATAACCATTTTGCTTGTTAAGTAAAGACCACCACTGCCTGACCAACGGGAAAGAGTTCCCGAGAATTGGAAAGTCCTCATCTAATCCACTCCAGATTTGTTTAGAGTTTTCACATCTAATAAATAGGTGATGGAAGTCCTCTACCTCCCCACAAAAGGCACATGCTGGATCAATCCCTAGACCCCTGGCTATAAGATTATTTTTTTTTTGTGAGAAGTCTATTATTTAATAAGAGATAGAGAAAAAATTTAATTTTGGGGGGGAGCATGAGTTTCCAAAAATTAATATGATAGTTGGCAATAAGACACTTACCACTGTTAAACCGACACTCCTCTTTATAAGTTGTTTTAACTGAGAGGTTACCAGCTCGGGTGAATTTCCAAACTCTTTCATCTTCAAAGTCCCCATGAAGAATTAATATAGGTCGGATACACTGCCAAGCCAAATAAGTGGTAATAGACTTAGGCCTGGTTTGGTTCGCAGGAATAGGGTCTGGAATCGGAATCGGAATCGAAATGGGCTATTTCAATTCCAACTGTTTGGTTGGGCGAAATCGGAATCCCATTCCCATTCTCATTCCTGCTGGAATGGCATTCCCCCATTTGAGGGAATGGCCATTCGCTGCCCCTCCCATGGGAATGAAATCCCATTCCTGCTGATTTTAATTCTCATTCTCATTCCTGTCTAAACCAAACAGACTATGGGAAATGGACCTTTCCGGTTCCGATTCCGATTTCGACTACAAACCAAATGGACCCTTAATAAAATCCTCTTTCCACACTCCCCTTTCAAGGTCAATGACCCCACTAACCGTCAAATGCATATCAATCAAATCTCTCCTATTATTAAATTCAATTAGAGGACCATTACCAGCCCATGAATCCAAGCACAAGAAGAGCTATTCTTTTTTTTTTCATCATAGAAATTGTTGTTATTAAGGTATTTATTAGTCACAACCTTGACCCAAAGATTGTCATGGCAATTTAAAATTTTTTACCCCAACTTAGCAAGAAGGGTCTTATTCATCCATTTGAGATTCCTCACACCTAATCCACCCCATTTTTTGGGTGAACAAACCTTGCTCCACCTGACAAGATAGAATGGAGTTTTGTCTCTTTGCATTCGACCAAATAAAGTCCCTTTGGTCTTTTCTAAATCAGTGACCACACTACTTGGAATTTTAAAAGTTTGCATAACAAATTAAGGAACCATCGAGGTAGAAGAACTAATTAAAGTTAATCTCTTAGCTAGAGAAAGAGAATTTTTTCCAACTTGCCAGTTTGTTATTCATTTTTTCTTTCAAGAGTTTGAAAGTATCTTTTGTCACTCTACCCTCAATAATGGGAGCACCAAGATATGTTGTATTCCTATTCCTAATTGGGATTTTAAGAATTTTGGCCATAATTTTCTGATGCCTAATCGGATGTTTTTGGGAAAGGAAATGGTTAATTTAAAATAATTGGACAATTGACCAAATGCTTTTGCAAATCTGTCCAAGATCTCCCTGATTTTAATACAAGTGTTAATAGAAGCTTTAGCAAAAATGATACAGTCATTTGCAAACTGAAGAATTGGAATTTCTGGACCTCCCTTAGAGGTCGTATAGCCAATATTATTCTTGCCACTCACAACCTCTTTATGAAATTTACTTGCAATGGCATCAGTACAAAGGACAAAAATATACGGGGAGAGGGGATCACCTTGCCGAATACCCCTATTGGCCCCAATGGTACGAGTAGGAGAACCATTTAAGAGAATCTGAAAAGAAAGTGGAGTGATGCACTTCATCACCCAGTTAATCCATTTGATATGAAATCCAAATTTAACAAGCACTCTCCTAATCAAGTCCCATTCCAACCTATCATAGGCCTTTTCCATATCAACCTTACATGCAAGCTTCCCCCGTTTGCCTCTATTTTTTTTCATAGTATGCATCATTTCATGATCTTGTAAATAACATTACATAGGCTAATGGGCCTAAAATCATTAATCCGCTCCGGGTTATCACACTTAGGGATAAGGGTGATAAACGTTCTATTTAACTCAACATTCATTTTCCCATAATAAGGCTTTAACTGTCTTATAGAGAGAATCCCGAACAATATTCCAGAACTTTTTGAAAAAATAAACATTAAGTCCATCAGGACCAGGGGCCTTCATATCCTTCATTGATAGAAGGGTATTATGGATTTCTTCATTTGTAACTTCTTTACATAGGCTAGTATTCATAGATTCTGTTGCACAACCTCCTATTTTTGAGATGAAATCATCAACATCTGAGGTACCCTCAGAATTGAACCTTTTCTTGTAACCACTACAAAACATTTCTTTGATATTTTCCATGTCATGCACCCGTATATCATTGTCATTTCTGATTTTCCTGATTTTATTTTTGTTTCTTCGAATTGTTGCAGTGGTGTAACAAAAATTTTTATTTTTATCTCGAAGTTTAATCCAATCAACTCTAGCATTTTGAGCCCAATAAACTTCTTCTCTAGCAAGAGTGTTGTTAAGAAGCTTTTGAAGGGCAATCTCATGATTAACGAGGGTTCTATTATTTGGGTCATCCTCTAACTGCTCTTGGATCACTTGGAGTTTCGCAAGAATTTCTTCCTTCTTCCTTCTGATACTCCCAAAATGATGCTTTTCCAGAATAACCAAGATTTTCCCTTCCAACAAATAACCAAGATATTTTTTTGTCAATACATCGGGGTCTACCTTGCAACAAATAACCAAGTCTTTCGGGTATCATAGATTTCGTGTCTACTCTCTAAATTCGCACTAGATTAATATGGCCACTGCATCGAAGTCTACCTTCCATGTTGGTGAAACTAGCAATGTTCACAGATCTTTTTCTGAAGCTTTTCTGTTGGAGTCTAAGAAGGCTGTTATGGATAACAAAGAGTCCAAAATCTCGTGTTGTCCGTACAGTAAATCTGGAAGAACTCAAAGGAAAGAAACTTATGGAGAGGAAGGGTGCTCTTTGCTTGTTTGCAAAGTTCCTTGGAGAACTAGAACCACTCCAGGTTCTGGTTGATAAAATTAAAGACTGGAAACTTTCTTGTAAATTGGATATTCAAATTATGTGCAATGGTCCCTATCTTTTCTCCTCTGCGGCTTCGGCAAACATCTCTAGGGTCCTTAAGGAGGAACCTTGGGTCATCAAAGGGAAGTATATTGCCTTCATGAGATGGAGGTACGACTTTAATCCTCTCAAAGAAAAGTTGGAGGAAGCAGGTGTGTGGGTTAGGATTCCAGGACTTCCTCTGGAATTTTGGTCCAGGGAAGATTTAGAGATCATTCTTAGAGATCTAGGGACTTTCATTATGCTCAAAAAAGATATGGAGAGGGCGTCTCGCTCTCTATTTCCCCGTATGTCTATGTCCATGTGAACACCACTAAGCATTTCATCCTTGATATTCCGGTCACTTCTAATGGTAACAACGATAAACTTCGTGTTTTTTATGAGAATGTTCATGACTTGTGCACTGCTTGTGTAGGACGAGTTCAACTAATAAGGATGGCGCAACTAAGCATTTTATGAGAACTGGAACCACTCTAGGTCGAAGGATTGTCACATTGCTTGCTGTAATGGTAAAAACTCAGGTAGTGTGAGATGTGATTTTGAATCTTAGAATGGTCACTTTGTGGAAAAAATGCCAAAGGTTGGTAAATCTTAGAATGTGCTAACTATGGATTGTTAGTGCCAACATTGAGTAATGGCCCTTTCTATAAGGAAGAAAAAGATCTTCTGGACTATACTACTCAAAACTTCAACATGTAGAATTCCAACTTGACTCAAAAAAAAAAAAAAGACTTGAACTAACACTAGAAGTATGTTTTTCATTTTAATAAGTTTTCCTTTATTTTACTCTGAAAGATTGGGTTTTTAGTTTCATTTGGTTTGATCAGTTATTGTGCATCTGGTTTAAGGGAATGTTGAATGTGCTATGCTTCAGTGCTTTGTCAACACTCTTACATCATATCGTGCTTTTTATTTTAATTTATTTGCATTTTTGTTACAATAAATATTTTACCACTTCCATGATGTTGAGAGTCATATCCAGAAGTGCTGCTTTCTTTTGAATATCCTTGCCTCCATCACCAGTCACATCCTTCTTGCTTCCTATGAACTCCCTTCTGGCACCATGATGTCTCTAGACTCTCTACTTGACCTATTAAAATTTTATCAAATCAATTAAATCATATTTATATAAGTCCACATTTTATGGATAATGTGAGCATATGGCCTAGCATGTAAAAATTATTACTTTAGGGTAGATAGACTTCTAGTTTTCCATTACACTGGTTGAGACACTTAGACTATCTTCTCTCTACTTGTCGACCTATTAAAATTTTACCAAATCATTTGGGTTGTGTTTGGTTGCAGTGCAATTTTATTTGCACTAGTACAAATGCACGTGAGTGCAAATTCTTGTTTAATTTTGTATTGGGTTTTGGTTTATCGTGCTTCAAGTCTTATTTTATTTCATTTGTACTGCAATCAAACAAAATGAGGTAAAACTTGAAACAAAAATAATTCATAATTTACACCCAAATCAAATAATTTGTACTTTAGGGTAGATAGTCTTCTAGTTTTCCAGTACACTGGTTAGGACGCTTGAGCTATCTCCTGAAGGCCTTGCCTTTTTCACGTAGTATTGTCAGCACACAGGTGCCTACATTTAGAGTAGTTTGTCATTTACTCTTTGATGGCATGGAACATTTGTTGCAACATTACAAGTAAAAAGAATAAGTTTGTAATGATGCTTGAACTACAAGAATATCGGCATAAGACCCATATAATGTGGCTGTTATAATGAATTTGCTATCTAGGACTAGACTACTCCAAGCCCAATCCTCTTTAACCTTTAAAGGACACCAAGACTATCAATTCTCATCTTGATTGCTTGGAGTTCAGCTTTGGTCAGGGCATAGCCCATTCGAGCAGCATTTACTACTTTGCATTATTTATATGCTTTATTTCTTAAGAAAATATTCCCAATGCAAGGTTGAAAAAGGTTGTTGGAACAGTGTGGGCAAAGATTTGCCTTGACATCTCGATTGCTAGATACATCATCAAACATATGTTAGCCAACTTCTTCTCTCAGATAACAATTACTGAGTATAATCTTATTACTGAAGGGGGAGACATTATCATTTCATTATATGATTTTATCATGTTATTATAATATTCTTAATTCCATTCTTTATTTACTCCGATAGGATTTATTATGTTTTTATCATTAGCATACTTTGAAGATATGGGCAAGAATAGAGTTTGCTTTGGCGAAATAAGATACACCCATAGGATGAACAAGACTTTTTAGGTTAATTGCTTTTTTTATCAATAGGTTAAGTACTTTTTCTTGTACAATGGATGCATTATTCTTCATGTCATTTGGATTCTTGTTCAGTAGAACAATTCTCTGCTTCTTTCAGATAGTGTCAAGTAACATAAGAAACAAAGAAGAGAAGAGAAGAGTTGGGTGAATTACTGCTCACATCCAAAGAAAATTTTATATTAACCTGAAAAATTCATAAATGCCCCTAATAGGGTGCCCAAATACAAAAGAATTAAAAAAAAAACCCTAAAAGCCCTTGCTACCAATACATATTCTCAACACTTCCTCAAGTTCACCATAGATATTTATCATGTCTCGTTTGCCAAGGTTTATATCAAATTTCAGTTTGTGGAGACCCTTGGTGAGACAATTAGCAAGTTGATCTTCAAACTTGACAAATGACATACAATTAGCAAGTTTGGGAGACCCTTTTCCCTTTAGGCCCTCATTGATTTTTTTGGAAGTTATTTACCCATGTTCTTTTATTTCCCAGATAAATAAGACAACAACCATTTTAGTCATATAAAGTCATTATTAAAAGTGACAATTTTGTCCCACTCAAGTGCTGTCAACTTTCCCCCAGGTGGCAAAGTTATTTATCCACTTAGAGTGTCTAGGGAAAATAAATTTTCCATAAACACCACATAAATTTGAAAAAAAAAAACACAAATATCTTAGTTAATGGGAGCCAAAATCTTATTGACCAACTTGTTTTTGGGATTTTGAGAGGGGGAAAGTTGTCCAATGGGATTACAAGAAACCCATGCTCTTTTTTTTTTTTTTTGATATTTATGTGGGGACTAGGGAAAGTTTATTTTCTTGGGTAAGTGACACCCATCTCCTAGGTGGGTAAATTAACTTTCCCATTTAGGGGGAAGTTGTCAACACTTGAATGGGATAAAAATGCCCCTTTTAATAGACCGGTATGGGCTAGTGCATTTACCTAGGTAAATAACTTATCGAAAAATAAATAGGGCCCGAAAGACGAGCCCTTGTTGGAGAATTAAGCCCTATTTGGATAGACTTTTCGTACTTCTTAAAAGTACGGAAAACACCACATCATGTTTGGATGGCATACTTCTTACTTTGGCTTTCATACTTATTAAAAGCACAAAACCCCCCAAAATCACGAAATCGACTTTTATTACTTCGTACTTTTATGGTTGGGAAGGGTCGGATTTGGGTAGGGTCAGGCCTAATTTGGGTTGGGCTTTGTCTATGTATCAATAGAATACATTCAGACCCAAGCCTGACCCTCATATAAAGCTCAAGCTAGACTATAAATTTGAAAATATATATATTTTTTGTTTTTATTCAATAAAAAAGTGTTTTGTTTATATTAAAAACCTTCAAAACTAAAAAATAATAAACTTCTCACTATTACTTGAAAAAAAAGAGAACAAAGAAAAAATATTGTATATATATATATCTTTTATTAAATGAAATATATTTTTATTATTTAATATATAGTATCATGTCGGGCTCAGGCTCGGGTCGGGCTTTTTTGAGAAAGCCCGAGCTCGGCCCCAAAAAAGTCGGGCCCGGTTCTTTAGGCCCGAGGCTAAGTCCGCTAGCCTAAAATTGTGACCAAGCCCGACTTATAATGGGTCGGGCCGGGTTGGGTTTTCAGGCTACTTGGCCCATTAATAGGTATAGTGACCACCCTTCAGGTAAAACCCCTTGATTGAGATTCCCCCATTCGCTTATCGTTTTCAAGCTCTAACCTCTTTGCTGCTGTAGGTCCTTGTTTCATCGTCGCCCATCTACGTCCCACCATCCCTTGGTTTAGGAAACAAAATGGTTTTGTACAAGTATAATGCTATATATAATATTACAGTAAACAAGCTATAAAAACGTTCTATAAAGCTTCATGAATAGTTTAGGAAACAAAGAAGTCAACAACAGTGATTCCAGTGGTGGTAAACATGCAAAAATGGTATTTCTGTTTTGGAAAGCATGCTTTTCAAAATCTTTTACCCAAACTGTTTTCAAAGCAAAAATACCAAAGTACAAAATGTATTTGTACTTTATACTTTTGTACTATTAAAAGTAGAAAAATAAAAGTATACCAAACATAGCCTTAGTTTTGGAGCCCTTCGAAACCTAAGTTTCGGAGTAAGGGAGGTCATACGGGCTTGGTTCTAATTTTTGGCCCATTAATGTGTTATGTTACTCTGGGCTTGGTTAGATATGCAGGCCCAAAAGATATAATAGTGAAAATTTGATCGGTGGACCTGTCTGGGTTAGGGAGGAGTTAGATGTGGGGTTGGTATGCCGTGAGTGGATGTCGGTGGACCTGGGTTAAGCTTTTTGCTTTCCAAGCCTTTCCTCTGTTTCAATGTAGCCCGTCCAATTTGTGGGCATGGCATATAAGCCCTCTACACAAGTACACTAATAAGCCTCAGGTACGTCGTATGCCTCACGGACGGTGGTCCGTTGTAAAGAATAAGTGTTATGACATGTATGCCCCTTTGCA